AACCCATGGACACAGACAAAAGAGAGACAGGCCTGGGGAGGGGTCGGGGCAGGGGCAGGGTGGATGGGGTTAATGGCAGAAAAAAAGGAGACACCTGTAATACTTTCAACAATAAAGATAAATTGTTACAAATCTAATAATTCATGACATTCATAAAATCGTTACAAATGTGATGTTAAACCCAGTACATATTTCATCTCATTTAATCCTCAAAATAACTTAATCAAGTATTTTTGATTTTTAAAAAAATATTTACCCAAGGACATGCTTAGAGGGAGGGAGGGAGGAAGGGAGAGAGAGAGAGAGAGAGAGAGAGAGAGAGAGAGAGAAGAGAGAGAGAGATTGCTCCCCAACTGGGGATCAAACCCCAAACCCAGGCGTGCACCCTGACTGGGAATTGAACCAGCAACCCTTCATGCACAGGATGATGCTCAGCAAGCTGAGCCGCTCCAGCTGGGCAGATAGTTATGATTTGTATCCTTATTTAAAAATGGCCACATTGAGACTCAGAGATGTTAGCAACTTGTCCAAGCAAAGAAATAGATAAAGCCTGTCCATGCTGCCCTGGGGAGTGGCTCAGCTGGTTGGGAATCGTCCTGTGCACCGGAAGGTCGTGGGTTTGATTCCAGGTCAGGGCACATACCTAGGTTTCGGGTTCAATCCCTGGTTGGGCACATACGGGAGGCAACTGATCACATCTCTCTCTCTCTCTCTCTCTCTCTCTCTCTCTCTGTTTGTGTGTTTCTCTCCCTCTGTCTCTCTCCCTTCCCCTCTCTCTAAAATTGATTAAAAAAAATTAATCATTAAAGAAAAAAGCACCAGTCAATGCCTGGTGCTAGAAACCAGAAGATGAATACTTTCCGACTAGCACACAGTGGGGATGTAAACTGTGCAGCCACTTTGGAAAAAGGTTTCGCAGTCCCTCTAAAGGCTAAATATCAAGGTACCACCTGACTGAGCAATTCTGCTCCTAAGTATATACCGAAGAGAGATGAAAACACACATCCACACAGCAACTTGTACACGTGTTCATGTGTTCATGGCAGCATTATTCACAATGGCCCCAAGGTGGAAACAACCTAAATGTCCATTGACTGATGAACAAAAGGGTATTTCTACATAATAGGATGTTGTTCAGCTGAAATGTTTTATGGCATGTGAATAATATCTAAAGATAAAAGTAATATTAAACCTAAAATAAAAACACTTTTAAAATGCAAAATTTAGAGTATCTCCTATAAGGAGCTCACAAAATAAAAATGTAACAAAGGGGAGAAACATCTAAATATCACAATAATAATAATAAAATAATAACCGCAACATTTTTGAGGGCTTACACTATGCCAAGCACTGTTCTACATGTATTAACTCACTTAATCCTCACAATAACCCCATGAGATAAGTACTATTATCATCTCTATTTTATAGATGAGCAAACCGAGGTACACAGTTCACACAGCCGGGACTATGGCAGACAATCTAACTGCAGAGCCTGCAAGCTAATCTCCTGTCTCTAGGAAAACAAGGGCACTTTCTGGGCGCAGGAAATATCAAAGCTTCCTGCATTTGCCCATGAAAGGCCCCAAAGGGCAGCTCCAGTCTTAGACCACGAGGGTATGTCCAGCTGTGCTCAGGCCTGAGCTTCCAGGTGCTGAGGGCAGGGAGGTGAGAGTCCTTGTCCTCCCTTTTCTGTGGAGCGATGGATACTGGTACATACAGGCAACCCCAGGAATGCCCCACACCAAGACAGGGAGGAGTCTGAGTTAGAAAAGCTGAGCTCTCCCTCCCAAACTCTGCGTTTTTAGAACACGGGCAAAGGGAAGCTTGCATGTGCCAGAGACGGGTTTTCCATTCCTGCCTGAAAATAAAAATTAACATTGTCCCATGTACAGGAAGAGATCTGAAGTGAAAGAGGATGCACTGAAATTGTAGCCAGGTTATCAATTATGTTACCCAACCCGCAGACAGCGGACTGTCTCGCGCCCGGAAAGTGTCTTGGTCTAGAGGTAACACAGGACAAATGGCCTCCGGCTTCCTCAGCTCTCAGTGTGCTCAGTTTCAGAACGACGGCGTTGCAATAAGATTCAGCTGCTCCGGGCCAGGTCCCAGGAAGATGGAACTGCTTCCCAGATGTTGCTAGAGCTGGAGAACCCAGATCTCTGTAGCCAGCCCTACAGATGCTCTCCCCAGAAGTCCATCTGCTCCCCACAGCCACTCCACACTCTACACACACACACACACACACACACACACACACTCTCTCTCTCTCTCTCTCTCTCTCTCTCTCTCTCTCCCTTTCTTCCTCAAGGACCTGTTTCACCAAGCCTAGCTGTAGGCACAGGAGGTAAAGTGTGTTTTTTCCCCTTAATTAACTTTTGGGATGTGATTATGAAAGGAATCCACTGTCATTATAGAAAACTAGTAGCCCTGAGCACGAATCCGTGGGCCAGTAGGTCGCTGCCTGTAGCTCTCTGCCCGCTGCTCTGTCCTCTGTAGCTCCCCCGCCCCCACCTCATAGATTGTTGCCTTGCCCTCTCCTGTAGATCTCCGCCTCCTGCTTGCTTGCTGCCCTGCCCTGTCTTGTAGCTCTCTGCTGCCCACTTGTAGCCAGTAGGTCACTGCTGCCCTCCTGTAGCTTCCCTCGCCCCCTCCCCCTCCCATTCCTCCCCCTCATAGCTTGCTGCCCTGCCCCCTCCTGTAACTCTCTGCAGCTCACTTGTACCTCGCTGGCCCACCCTCCTGCTGATCAGTGATCTGGTGGTGATGCGCTTGGTCGTTATGCCTCAGGGTGTAATGGCTAATTAGCATATTCCTCTCTTGTTATATAGGATAATAAGATGGTCATCTCTACCTTTGAGCACTTGCTATGTCAGGCACTGTTGGAAGAAAGGAATTCACTCCAATAAATTACTCCTCCCAACAATCCAACCAGGCAGGTATTATAACGATCACTTGTAATTTACATGGAGAAGCTGAGACTCAGAATGGTTGAACAATGTACTCAAAGTCACCCCGTAGAAGAACTGGGAATGTAGAGAGTTCTGCAAAGCAGGACCAAAAGGCCTCCTGAGTTCTGCTCCCATCTTTGTTCAGGCCCTTGCCCCTCCCTGGGATTGTTGAAACAATTCCCATTGCTCACCTCCCGTCTCAGTCTCACCTCTGAACTCCACCCAGAGGCGGCTCTCAGGAGGTGCTCAGCAGTGCGGTCCTCTCACTGACACAGGGCCTCTCTGAAAGGTAGTTTTAATCATGTCACCCAGGGACTCTCAGCGGTTGCCCATTTTCTCCAGCATAGAGTCTTAGCGTGACATTCAGGACTTTTCATAACCAGGGCCGTATCAGCCTAAGCAGGATGCTCCATTTAAACCAAATTGCTCACCCTTCCTTCAAGTGTGTCATGAACATTCTTGTCTCACCTGTTGGCAGCGACTTCTCACTCAAGCTCACCCTGTGCTTCCTGCATTTCGGTCTCCCTCCCAGGACAGGTGAGAGCCAAGGGACAGGTTCTGGCCAGTGTACCCCTCCCATGATGCAGGCTCCCCCAGTGCCTCATGTTAACCCAGGGTCGTCTGTGCCAGTTCAATGCCAACTTAAGATGTCGTGAAGGAGACTTGATTCAGTGCAAACAGCTCAGCATGGCTACAGACCAGCATGGCTGCGAGGCCGCCCTCACCACTCAGGGGTGCTGAGTCAAGACCACTCAGCTTCCAGCTGGGGAAGCCAGGCTTCACTGGAAAGGGAAAATGCCCCCAGTCAGAGGGGAACTAACTTATACAGAGAGAAGTCCCTGCCCTGGTCCCTGATTGGTCCATCCTATGCAAATAACGGTGCCAAATCTACAGAATTTGATTGGCCCCAAAAGCACTGTCCTGATTGGTCAGACTGGAGCTGCTCTGATTAGTAGGAGAAAATGCTAATGAGGATACAGCTGTGTAGCTCCAATTGGACAGGAATCTTAGTCCTACCTGCTCCTGACTAATCCATAAGTCTTTGCTCCTGCTAGTTTCTCTGCCTAGAGAGAGGCTTTCCCTTCTTGCTCCCAGTTAGTTGAAATTCCTTTCATCCTTCAAGTTCAACTCCAATATGATCTCCCCTGGGAGGCCCCCCCCCGCCCCCCATCAGGAGTCAGTCCCTCCTACTCTCTCTATTCCCAGGGCACCATAATCACCTCTGCTTCAGCCCAGAGCACAGGCGGGCTTACCCGGGGTGAGGGCTGGTCTCCCACACTGACTACCCCACCATGTCCAGAGTGGACTGTGTCTGTTCAATTCTGTTTCTTCCACAGGATTTAACCTGGTGATTTGTACTCAGGAGAAGTCAATGTGCGGCGGACATGAATTAGTTCAGAGGGAAAACCATTTGCTCCCTGGATTCCATTTATGCAATTGGGGGATAAGGAAAAAAGCTTGATCCATTTCAGTCAGAGGCCCCAGTGGTTGGTAGGGATTGGAGAGGGTTTCAGGTGAGTAGGTGGCTGGGGAGGCTAGAGAGTGGGGGTAGGAGAGCCTTGGACATGGCCATGCCTCCCCAGTCCACCAGGAAGCCCGAAGAAGCCCACAGCCGCAGGATCTGAGGGAGCTAGCAAGGAGCCTCTGAAGCTTCCAACTGTTTACCTCCTGGGTACCAGGGCGAAGGGGTACTGGTCGCTCTGGCAACCCCATTATTAACCAGAGGCAGGACCGCTGACAGACAGTGAATGAGAACAGAAAAGGCACAAAAAGAGGCGCACCACGGCCAGGGGCACAGGCAGTCCTGGCCAAAGAGACTGAGATCTTGTGGTCAGACTCTGCCATGTCCAGAGCGGACTGTGCCTGTTCAATTCTGTTCCTTCCACGGGATTGAACCTGGAGATTTGTACTCAGGAGAACTCAACGTGCAGCGGACATGGTACCCAGGAGGCAAACCCAGGGAGCGACCTTTTACCTTCTCCCAGAATCAGCACTGGAATCAATGCTGGAGGGGAACCCCACTTCTGAACAGAGGCTGGAGAGGGAACGTGTGTGCTGGGCATCCCCCCCATCCTGCCCACAGAGCTCCCCACAGCTGAGTGACACCCCAGCGGGGCCCTGCCCGGCAGAACTCTCAGAACTGGACATGGCCCGAGACCTGGTCAAGAGAGCCGTCACCTCCCCGTCCCTGCCCAGCTTCCCACGGCACACGCCAATGGCTTCTCACTCAGGGAGTGTGTGACCCATGTCCAGACAGCGATATTGTGGCTTGTTTTTATGAATGAGCAACAATATCTTTTTTAAAAAATTTAAAAAGGGGTGCAAGTTGGGAGGAGCTGGCAGGCTGTCCTTGGAGAAAGTTAGGGGCTGGGCTGCCTACCCTGGGATGCAAGCCCAAACTCAGATAGGGGGTATTGTGAATGGATTTGGGGTGGCAGGGGCTGGAGTGGCAGGGGCTGCCGCCGACCAGCTTTGTCTCTGGAGGATTTGGTGAGGAGCGTCCACCCTCTGGCTGTCAAGTTTACCCCAGAGTTTGCACCTTGGGGCTGTGGGCTTGGAGGGTTTGAGGGCCCCCAGTCCAGAATGGCCACGCACAAGGGCCTTCGGGCTCTGCTCCCAGGAGGAGTGGGGATGGGGCTGAGCTGGGAGAAAAGCCAAGGACAGGATCACCCTCAGGGGATCGCAGGGATCGGGGGTCCTCGCTCTGAGACTAAGCCAAGATCTCATTATAATTTCATCATTAAAAACAGTGAGTGCTAACTCCCCCCCGCCCCCGGAGATTTTCAGTTCCTTGGCTCCTCCTCAGCCCACCCGTCTCTTTGGATCCCTGAGGCTGGGTAGGGGCCAGCGGAGGCAGTCCCCGACCGGTCCGCTGGTTCCCCAGGCTCCCGCTTCCTCTGGGCCATGGACAACCTCCCAGAGCAGTGCGGACTGTGGGAGAAGCTGGGAAGGTCCCCAACCGAAAGCGGGGAAGCCAGGACGCCCCCCCTTCCGTGTAGGGTGTCTTGGGGAGATGTCCCGGGGACGGCGTCGTGACTGGATCCCCTTCCTGTCGCCAGTGGGAGCCCACCCAGCTCCTGCCTCCTGCCCGCCCGGTGGCTCAGCCCCGCTTGGTCCAGAGCCGCTGTGGGAGGTGAGTAAAAAGGGTGCGAAAGACTTGGGTGCAGGACGGCTTCTTGTCCTGGTCCTCGGTACTCCGGGTACAGGGGTGTGTGTGTGTGTGTGTGTGTGTGTGTGTGTGTGTGTGTGGAGAGAAAGAGAGAGAGAGAGAGAGAGAGAGAGAGAGAGAGAGAGAGAGAGAGAGAATGAGAGATCTATGCATGAGAGACACATCAATTGGTTGCCTCCTGAGCATATCCCAACCAGCACCAGGAGAGAGAGAGAGAGAGAGCTGAGGCCGGAGCCGGCCCTTGCTTTCTGGCCCCTTTTTCAGCACCAGGGACCGAGGACAGCGCCGCCCTCCCGCTCAGCACCCTGCTCCCGCGCGCATTTTGTATTTTAAGCCCCTCTGCTGGCCAAACCTGCGTCCCAGCGCCCCAGCACTCCCAGCTCAGGAACCCCTAAATCCTTACCCACCCAAGTTTGAGCTCCCGCGGCGCGCCTACCCTGCGCAGCGTCTCCTCCTGGCTCCCTCGCGTGTGGGCGGCAGCCTGGTCCGGCTCCTCCGCTCGGTCAGGACCCCGCTCTGCGCTCTGAGCAGGGAGCTTGGGGCCTCCCTGGGGAAGGTCAGGTGAGGCTCTGGAGCCTCTAAGGCGGTCCCGGAAGAGGCAGGAGTCGCTGGGTCACGTCGCCATCCCCTCCGAGGGGAGAGGGAAGAGGGGGTGAGGCCGGAAAGTCCGCCCGCAACTCTGGACTCTCTCCTAACCGCAAGCCTCAGCCTCCGCCCTGGGAAGGTTCACCAGCGCGTCATCCGCAGGGGATGAGGATGAGGATACAGTGCAGACCTGAGAGCTTGGAGTTTAACCGTGAGGATGTCCATCCCCTTAAACTTGTTACTGTCGCGGGGAGGGAGCGTGTGGACACAAATCTCTCCGAGGGATGTGGTGAGTTCTCCTTGCAGAGTTTGTGTTTCCTGTTATTGTAACAGACAGTACCAGATTCCCTGGACGAAAAATCAAAACCCACCAACCAGAGAGCAGTCGCCGCCCTCCGTGGAAGCCAAAGGGACGTAAGGGTTCTGGGAGAAGGTAGCTTTATTGGACAGAGGCTTCATGTTCCTCACTAGCCTTACAGGAGGTGTGTGTCCGAGGGCGCGCATCTCCCACCCCCTGACTCTGGGTGGAGGGGCGGGTCCCAGCAGGAGTCCAGTGTTCTTGTCTGGGACAAGATCTGGAAGCCTCTTCTCCAGGTTCCCGTGGCGTTTCCAGAACACATCTATCAAAGTGTCCGATTAAGGTTTCAAGTTCATGCAGCAGTTGAAGGGATAAGTGTATACTACTCAACGGAGAAATAAAAACTTAGAATAACACACACGTCTTAAAGAGGAGCAGCAAAACCTGGAAAACCGGCCCCCAAAGGCAAGCGAGGCGTCATCATTCAGAGCCAGCGGCTCTGCTCGCGGAGAGCCCAGGAAGGGAGGTGAGGGATCAACACAACCAAGTCGAAGCCCGGAAGCTGGAGGAGGGGAGAGTTCTTGCTTTACCTTTTGGTTCCTGGGAGAAACCTGAGATGCATGTAACGCAAGAGAAAAGATAACTCCTGCGGCCATGCGTCATCGAGACCCTTCGGCTCCCTAATCCAGAGAGCCTTGACACACAGCAGTTACCCCGCAATTGTTTACAGCCTCGTTGTCAGGAAGTGCTGTTTCCTGCGGCCCCTGTAATTTATGACACAAATGAAAGCTGTCTCCTGTTGGCTTGTCCTCGGGGAAGACTGGAAGCAGATGGTTATTATCTGTTGCCCAGAAACATTTCAGAGCTGATTCTGGAGAAAGTAGTCGTTATTCGGAGACAATTGAAGGCATAACCCTAAAAATAAGAAATCCCTTTGGATTTTTGTTTTTGAAACACAGACCGTTCCTAAGATCTGGGGTGTGGGTGGAGGAACAAGACCCTACAAAACTGACCGTGAACTACTGATGTGCACCGAGTCTGATGAATGAGGTAGAGCGCCCAGTGTGGGATCAGGCACATTGCTGGCCCTCAGGAAAGGATGTGTGTGGCAGTAGCTATCACTGACAAGTTTTGGTTCCTGAAACGTGGAAACAAACTTAGACTAGAAATCAGCAGCAAGTCCTGGAGGGAATGTATTTGTGAATTTGCCTGCAAAAGGCATCCAGCAGCAAGATTCTGGGCTGCCAGGATGAGGGTCCAGATTTGGCAAAAGACTCACTGAGTGGGGTGGCCTCAGCGGACCTGTTGCTCAGGCTTCACACAACCAGGTGTGTGTGGAACAGTGTGGGAAGGGACAGCCATCCTTCGTCAAGACGCAGGACACGAGGATCGCTGGCAACCCCAAATGAGTTAGTGGGATGTCCTAACAGGTCCATGGCACCAAGAGACCCAGCAAAGGGACCTGCCGAAACCCAGAACCTGTGCCAGAATAGGGAGACCACAGAGAGAAGGGAGCTATGGAGAAGGCACCACTTTCTCGCTCTGAGGGGGCAGGTGAGACTGGGAGGAGCGGGGAGGACTAGGTGAGCCCCTGGTTGCTTCAGCCTTAGTGGGACTTGCTAAGGAAATGAAGAGGGGTCTGTGGGGGGAAAGGTGGCATCCAGCCATCAGGAGCGGAGGAAGCTGGAACCCGGGGGCCTGGTGACTACAGTTCCACCCCCCTGTGGTTCCAGGGCTGGAGAAATAAAGGGTGAATACCAGCCAATCCCAGAGGGATTGCATCCCAGCGTGAGCAAGCACAGGTATGGCTTAGGGCACTGACTCCCCAGTGATACGTAGTTTTGTTTTTAAAGTTTAAGAAACGGGATTATGGTCTATATAAATCTTCCGGGACTTGCTTTTCCCCAATCAATATTAAGATTCATTGATGTTGACTGTAGCTATAGTTTTTTTAGTTTCACTGTGTAAATATATAATTTTTTATTTATTCTCTGGTGCAACATATACTTTTTGATTTAAAAAATTGAGGCGAGGAGCCAAATGCTTGCTATTCTAATGATGTAAAATTTGCCCAAACAACTTTCAGATGTGCTGGGCTTGGCGTTTATGGGTTAGGGTTAAAACGCACACACACTGCCGTGGGTGGCCAGTGAGCTAGCCCTTCTGCTGGGACCAGATGGTGTGCAGTGTGTTAAAGAGCAGGTAATCTGTAAGGCGATAAACCAGACTAGCAGATGAGAAGCAGAAATGCGAACAGATAAGCCCAGTTATCAGGAAGGGGGAGGGCTGGGCCAGCTCCCGCAGGGGGTCTAGATCCTTGGCAAATGAAAAGGCAATTTGTCGGAATGGCCTTTGAGAAATAAAACATTTATGCGGAGGTAGGCAAGGTTCATGTGAGCAGCCGGGCCACATCAGGTTCCCAGCAGGAATTCGCTGTCAGCGCAAAGGCATCTGGGGGGAAGGCAGGCCGGGATGGGGAGAAGCTGTCGTTCCCAGTTTTCCAGGCCTTCTTTGCTGCTTCCTCCCCAGGCATGGAGGCGACGGCCTCCATTTCCCTCACCTACCTGGCAGTTGGCAGAATAGAAGGAAAATTAATAAGATTTGAAGAGTTATAAATTCCATCCGACCATCATTAAGAGCTTGAGCTTGGTGCCGTGGGACCTAATCTACCTTGTCCCCGGCAGCCCCCCTTTTAGCGCGGCCTTCCCACTCCATCCGGTCTCTTGTACCCGACCGACTGCAATGCCTGGGACCACCATCCCTCCACTTTCAATCTTTGATTTCTTTTAAAATGCAGGTGACTCCAGGATACAGAGTGCAGATAAGAACCCAGTGAACAGTCTGTAAGGAAGACTGAGAACATCTGATGATCTGGAGACCAGGC